CTCCTACTTAAGTGGATACTAAGTTTGGCCAAAATATATTTTCATTACGAAGCTAGCACTGGTAAGTCTCCCTGGTAATACAGTTCTGTATCAATATGTTAAGTCCTTATTCTCCTGTTGGAATCAATTTCTTTTTATCTGACAGCAAGGTTTCAGAATTATTTAGTCATCACATTAATTGTTCAGACTAATTTTAGAAGGGCATATTTTCCATGACGTTGCTGTGCACACTGGATACATTCAATTGGGAGGACAGAGTCAAACTTCAAACAGATTTGTTTTCCATTACCCAAGTTAAGAGAATGCATTGGCAATTTACTCCTTCCCTGGAATTATTGCGAGGTTCTCTTGTGAAGTAAGCACTGCTGTATCCCTTCAAGCATCAAACATGTTAGTGGGAGCTTATTCACACACCAGTAAGTGTTAGTGCACGTTCTGGAAAATACTGACTTGCTATTCTATGGCATTTACCTGTCCAAAAAAACTGGATGAAGTGGAATGTAAGGTTCTAATGTGCATACACAAAGCTAACTATAGGAATGCTAGATTTATAAAATAACTTATTTTCATTAATTCTTTGAAAGTTTGTTGTCAATGTTCGTGTTTATTGCAGAGAAATAATTTATGGCATAAAGCATAACTTGGTTAAGACCCCAAAATGGGGACGTTTTGCGAACCTTTTCAGATAAGCTATCTTAACCTTCCTTCTGCTAGGCTGACATGTTCACAGTCTTGCATGTTGGTTTAATAAAGTGTATTTCAAAAAACAAAGAATTGACAAAAAGTTTGTCTGCTAAAGCCTTTCACAAATGGAAGCCAGACGAGTTTGCACAATGGCAAGCAGTCAGGCAGGGTATCTTAATTTACCATCTGTCAGATGAAATGCAATAGCTGAATTGGTGAGTACTCCAGCCTAGCTCCTAGGCCAGGAAAACAGGTTAGTTTGAGTCATTCTCCAGAGAAGTATGGATTTGGGATAGAGGTGGGGTTAGGTGTATGTGGGAAATGTCAATAAAACTTGCTTAGGTCTGGTTCCATTTACTTGTGATTAAGTGCTGTTTGCAGATGAGGTGTTCGGGCAACTGTCCTTTATAAGGAATTGTGTCAAACCAGTCTCAAAAGGTTTATGCTCTCTGGCCTTTGAAATTACAGAAGCCACTTACTTCTCTTTAGCTTTTCTGCTGTGGCTGTTTGTAGAGATGAACCAGGGCAAAATGAAATGATAGGGTTTATGCTGTAACGTTTTTGCCTCTCCAGATCTTCTAGCTAAGTGTCACTTGCAGGCAGGGGTAAGGCTAACTTACCTTCTTCCAAAAGTTTTTGATGGAGATTGAATATATGTAACATTTCCCCTAGGTTGTTCAGTTTACCAGCCAGGCGAGAATCACCATTTAGTGCCGCAAAAGAAAACGATGAATGGAACAAATTCAGAATAAAACCAGTTCCTAAAACTTGATACACTAGCCGTTGCAGTGGGCACAAGGTGCAGTAAATGGGTAATGTAAAGCTGTTGCTGTAAGTCTCCGCTGGGCCGGGAGAGGGCAGCATTGATGGCGTCTGTCGGAAGGTTCCCGCGCAGCACGGGCTGCTGCGCGCTTGGCTCCGCTCAAGTTCCCCGTGGAGCCGGCAGGGCCATGCAGAGCTGCTGCACGTCTGCTATGACACCAGATACAGTTATTTGTAATATCAAGCTGTCCCAAAATACTCGGAGAAATGGGTGAAGATACATACAAGGTGGAAATGCTTTTTTAATTCAAGTTTTACAGGAGCGTACATGGTATCTATCCATAAGAGTAAACCAAGACCTTTTTAGAACAAACTATGAGATGCTCTTTTAGGTGCTCAGAGAGACACCCGTATGGCTGCCTGAGTTTTGGGGACCTAGACAGTATTAAAGGTGCTGGAAGTATGTTTGGGGACCAGACATTTGAGGAGTTTAGAATTAGGTGAGGGTGGAGCTGAGGGAGTTAGTACATGAGCTGGTCTATTGGCTACTAGTGTTCTAATTAACTTCCCTTTCTAAGACAAATCTTAATAACTTGGACTAGTTTTCATACTGCTGTTGTAGGAGAGTAGGTTTAAAACTGGTAAGTAACTCTAGGGTGTGTTTTTTTTTTTTTCTAAACTGGATTTCTTGAGAGAAGAAAGAAAAAGAAGCTAATAAAAATACTTCATTAAAAACCAAACAGGTAAGCTCAGTGATAAACTACTTAAGGGCACTTTTAGAAAAAAGTTTGAAATGCCATGTCTTTTTATTTTCATTTTCAAAGCTGGGAAATGCACCAGATAATGAAAGGAAGAAATAGTCTTGAATTACAAGATTTGAATATGTTTTTAAATTGCTTATTTACCCCATGTAGCCATTTTGTCCCTGGGGCATATATGACCGGTAGCCCCTGCTCTTGAACGCTGGCGATGTGGTTAGCATGACGAATGCCATTTTATAAGGCAAGTCGGCATTCTCTGTGACCGAGCGAGTCGTGTATTCCTTCCCTTCCCCTCGTTATCAGCCCCTGAAGGTCCTGTGAACCAAGTAGACAAACCAAACGGATTTCTCCTTCCCCTCCCTGCCGGCCTCAAGATTCCTGGGCGCCAGGCTGATTACTCCCTTCCTTGCTGGCCTTGAAGGTCCCCAGCATCCAACTGGCCTGGTGGTGTTGATGACTCCATCACAGAACAGAAGCATGTCAGCGCTGGCTATAAAATCAAGCAGTTATAAGCCCTAAGTGGGGATCTTGGACCCAAGTTGCTGCTGGACAGTGAGACCCGTGACCTCCATAGTCATCTGCTTCCTCTGAGGATTGAGTGACTCCTTTTATATGATTGTTGATTCTAGATTATGATTATTATATTGATACAGCAAACCATGTTTTAAGATCTGACCCAATCTGCAGAGGATCCAGGTGATAAGAAATTATAAATTAAGCTGTATTATAAATTCTATATTGTGCTACTTATAGATTGTACTATATTGATTCTACTTGTAGAAACCCTCTCCCATTCTAATCATAAATTCTGTGCTATTAAGAAAATAAAACTTTAACTACGACTTAGTGCAGTCATCATTCTGCCAACAATCCCCGAAAGAACCTGTCTGTTCCCTTAGTGTGGGGTGACAGGAATAGTTTAAAGGAAAAAAACCACTAATATCTGCATGGACAGAATGTCATCTTTGCACAGCTCGGGCTGTGAGCTGGAGTTGGTAGAACTGTGTATTTTATCCCACAGCTCATGTTCAAAGAGCTGAAAGCTGTCTGTTCTTATTTCCAGGTAAGCTTAGATTTATACACAGGCAGTATGGAAACCATCCTCCTCCTCTCAGCAGTAGGACAGCCATTTTAAGTGTGGAAACTGCTACTGTCCTTCCCTTGCCAGGTCAGAATAAATGAAGCAACATCAGCTGGCTGGCTGTGATGGCTTCAGCAGACAGATGCTAGTACTTCCATTGTGCGGTACGTTCTGTGTACACATGGAGCAGCCTGCGTTCCCAGGAAACAAGCTCACGAGAATACAGCTGCTGGAGTGGCACACGGGGACATCACAACTGCAAGCGTTACGAATCAAGTGGCAGTGATCTCTCTGCACTGCCCTGGGTAGGTCCTGCTTGACACAGCGGCAGAGGCCAGCCCAGCCCAGGCTGGAGTCGGGCTTACACGTACCCGTTTTGGTTTGGTCAGACTCGTTCCTCACATGCAAAGCAAGCCTCCCATTTATTTGTACCATTTACCTGCTTCTGAAATGGGGATAGTGTGCTACGTTAGGTGAAAGGAATTCACACCGTTTAGGACTTGCTTGTAAGGTAATGTGAGACTGAGACAATATCACAAAGGGGCACATGGGCCTCGGGTACACCTGCGCCGTGACAGAGCAATTCCAAATGTTCGTGTTGCATCAGTTCTGCAA